CACTTGTGCTGAAAGTGTTGGCACCCATAGCTTAAAGCTGAACTGCCAGGCACACTGCTAAATACATAGATGAAATGTATATACTATAGCTGTTTTACCCGTAACAGGATATTTATTTCTGAGATTTACACAGCCCTGTCACACCATATCGACCAGTCGGTAGACATTATATTTCTCTAATGTAATTGAGTTTCATTTACGGATCATGTCACTCTCTGGCTGTGACTGGACAGCGAAAGGGGAAGAAGCAGACTTAGGAGCTCATCTCTCTGCCACTCTGTTGTCTCCTCCTATCAACATGTCCCTTTTTAGCACATAAACACTGCAGCAAAACTGCTTGGCTCCTTGTAATGAATCTTCCTCGCCCAGTCAGAGCTTGGCTGTACAGAAGCTGCAAGAGATTGATACCAGATCAAATTCAGATATTTCTACTGCTTGCATTATAAAAAGAAATGAATAATGCGTTCACTTTTGTTTTTTTACCTTCAAACCTTCATGCATTTGGACCCATGTGCTATTTCCCTGATAGGTTTTAGTTAATGGTAGCATGTTTGTGCTTCTTTGTTACAGCCTGCCATTGCTCTATCACTGAAGAAACCTCTGAAACGTATCCGGTACCGAAAAGGTAAAGTCGTAATGAAAATTTGCTGTCTTGTTGGAAAACTGACAAATGTACAAAAGAATAATGCTGGGGTGGCATTTATCAACTGTGTCCTGCATGCATGGATATTTTGATCATTCCGGCTAGGTTCAGACCTGAGCATCATCCGAGATGCGCATCCAGAGACGGCACGATCATGTGCTACTGCACACAGCGATTGCCGTGCGGCCTCATTGATTTCAATAGGGTTACATCCGCATGTCAATCGCTAAAAAAAAGGTACAAGTGCCTGCTTTGCTGCTGGGATTTTTAGGGCCTCAACAATGGAAGGATTACAAGTTGCCTGCAGTGACACAAGATCTTTAAAAACGCAAAGCTACAGGAGTACAGGCTTTGTGCTGTTTAGAAACCTCATTGGGAAGCTGCTCATGGGTCTGTAAAGGAACTTACAAAAACGTTCACCTTTTTTTTTTTTCAGCAAGCAGTAGGCTCACTGAAAAACGGAAGAAGAAGAAGAAACGGTTAAGACTTGCTAGCAAAATCAAGAAGGAAAAGAATCTGTCCTCTCGGGAATCTTCTCATTCTGAGGTAACTTCTTTTTTTGCTCTGTTGTACACATAACACAATACATATCTATTTGGGGTAATACTGGTCACGTTTTACAGTTTGATTGCATGAAGTTTTTACGCTTGCCAGTGTTAGCTGCCACTTTACCTAACAGAGGACAGCTTCACCTATCACTGTACTGTAGAGCATGTAAGATTAGAAATCATTTACACAGTTAACTGTTTTATCATTGTAAAATAAACCAAAAATGCATTTAACATTTCTGTCAATTTTTGGAAAAAAATATGAACGAAAAATAGTATTAAGAGCTTAAGTCTTATTTGTTTCAAATGTAAATTTGTATTAATGGAGAACTATGAGGTGAGTGATTTCCACTCACCTCATAGTTCTAGCCGACCTGTGACAATGAGACTCACAGGTCGGCTCAGTAGATCGGGAGGTGAGTGAACACATACCGGTGTTCGCTCACCTCTCGATCCTGTCACAGCTCTCTGCCGTGACAGGGGAGGGGCTGGATTCCCCCCTCCCCGATCCTCCAGCGCTGACTGGCGGAACGGACGGGGGAGGGAGCGGGTACAGCTGGCTCTGCCTCTAGATAGGCAGAGCCAGCTGTCAGTCACGCAGCTGGGCGGATCCCGGCACAATTGTCGGGACCCGCTTCAGCTGCAGCGTTTCAGTATACCGCGAGCAGCAGTTTGCGGTATACTGAGCCTGGGGTGACGGGAGGATGCTAGTTTGTGTCCTCCCGTTACCCTAAGGAGAACTATGGGGAAAAGCCTTATCCCCATAGTTCTCCTTTTAAGGAAGCTAGTTTGTTGAAAATAACTAACGCTGCTAAATTTCATCTAGGCATTTATTATTTTAATCATGCCTGGTCATGAATAGGTTTAAAGAACTGCTTCTGATATAAATGTATCATTTAAACTAAAGTCATGGCAATTGTGTTTTTGTTTTCTCCCTGTATTAAATTCCTTGATCCCCCTATATCAGTGTGCGTTTTTCACAATAATGCTCTGAAGCTAGCATTCGTGATGTATCAGGCAGTGGCATTGAAGCCTCTTCCTCCTCCTAGGCTGCATCTTTTAAAATAAGACCCAATATTTTTTTACTGCACTTTGTCTCTTTTCTGCACTTTTTGTTTTTGTTCTGGTGCTTTGATTTCTGCTTAAACTATTTTATGCTGTGGTTAAACTTGTGAGGTGTTTCTGTACAGGGTGAAAGTAATGATATGGGTGCAGCTAGTCCAAGTGACACTGCTGAGGAGGGACTAGATCAAGATCATGGAGGACCTTCTAAGAAGAACTTTGAACGAGGTGGAGGTGGAGCAGCCATGAAAGAGAATGTGTGCCAGGTAAGTGTACAGGCACTGAAGAAACC